GGCGGAGGGAGGGAGACACAGAATGCAAAGCAGGCTCCAGGCTCCCAGCTGTCAGCACAGAGCCTGACGCGGGGCTCGAACCCACGAATGTGAGATCATGACCTGAGCCGAAGTCGGACGCTCAGCCGACTGAGCCCCCCAGACGCCCGTATAAGGTTTTAAAATGTGCATGGTACTACCACATATCATTTATGGGCACATACGTAAGCGATGCGCACGTCGCAACATGCAGAGAGATGATAAACACCGAGTTCAGGGCAGTGGTTACGTCTGGGGTGGAGGGAAGGAGGTGGAATCGAGGGACGAAAGGGACGAGCGTCCCGGTAACGTCCGACGTCTCAAGCTGGGTGGTGGACGTGAGTGTTCGCAGCTCCCCGTCGTCTGTTTCAAACCGATCGGTTTCATAATTTTGAAAGGAGCAAGACTAGTACAGAGCAGTGAGTAGAGTGAGCTATATTTGGGTTTTTAAAATGATTCATACGCATATGCTTGCAGATGTATGCACCAGGCCAGGGAAGGATCACAAGGAATCCTTAATAGGCGAGAGCTTTGGGGAGGCACCCTGGGGTTCGGGAAGCCAGCGGGGAAGGGAGACACGCTCTTGCCTGACACTTTCCTGAGTTTCATTCGACACTTGATTAACAAGAGGATCCCATCTGTCTTTGTTTATGCCCGCTGGCAGTGGTATGCCATTTCCCAGGCAAGACCTCGTGTGCCCCCACAGGTTCCTGGGGCCTCAGGGATCGTCAGTCCATATCTCAGATGAGACCGCTGAGGAGCCCAGAGGTTGCGGGGTTCACAGACTGGTGGGTGGTGCAGAGGGGGGCCGGGCGGCTGGTTCCCAGGTGAAGTCCCACGCTGAGCAGTGAAACTCGCTGGGTGGGTTTCCTTGGCACAGGACGGAAGTGGCCTCAGGCCCCCGGTGCCCTCCCTCGGGGCATTCAGCTTGGCTCCATGAGCTGTTCTCCGAGGCGTCCACACGCAGACCTCAGTGACCTGCGGGCCACAGCCCCTGGGGGAGTGGGGCACGCACTCAGCCCTACACAGCCACGTGGGACTTGCTGGAGTGGCAGCGACCCCGGACACTGCACAGAGGGTTGGGGCAGGTTTATTTTGCAGGGGTCGCTTTGGAGAAGGGACTTGCAAACTCCAGCAGGCACCAGGGTCACCTGGAAGGCTTGTTAGCTTTTGTGGCTGGGTCCTGCCCCAGAGCTTCTCGTTCTGCGGGTGGGGGAGGGACAGACGTTTGCATTCCTCCCCATTTATTTATTTATTTAGAGAGCATGAACAGGGGAGGGACAGAGAGAGAGGGGGAGAGAGAATCCCAAGCAGGCTCCACACTGGAGCCTGACCTGGGGCTCGAACCCACGAGCCTTGAGATCACGACCTGGGCTAACACCGAGAGCCAGACGCTTAGCCGGCTGAGCCACCCAGGTGTCCCAAACATTTGCATTTCTAACCGGGTCCCAGGTGACTGACCCTGATGCCGCCGGCCCAGGGACCAGACTTGGGAGACCCACTGCCTTAGAGCCTCCCCTGCTGTGCTTTGTAGACCGACGGAGGCACGGGGGACAACAGTCCGGGCACTGGCAGTTCCAGAAAACAGATGTACAAGCTGCCCGTGCCACAAAGTCACCTGTGCTCCAGGCTGTCGCCACCCACCTCTCACCCACGCCTGCCGACTGCGGACGGGGGATGCGAGGGGCAGTTTCTCGAACTGCCCGTAAGACCCGCCCAGGAGAGCGTTAACCGCACAGACTCGGGGGGCTTCCTCTTGTTAAAAATCAAATAAAATAGAGACCAGACCTGAAGGTC